AAACTATGCCACTATAAATATGGGAATGCATATATTGCTGTGGTATGATGCCTTTAATTCTTTTGGGAAGATACCCAGAAGGGGACTAGCTGGGTCCAATGGGACCTCTAGTCCTAGTTTTTTTTTTTGTGTTTTTTTTTTTTTAAGGAATCTCCACACTGATTTCCACAGTGGTTGCACTGGTCTACACTCCCACCAATAGCGGAGAAGGTTCCATGACCCCCACAGCCCCTCCAGCATTTGTTATTGGTTGATTTATTGATAATAGCCATTGTTTGGGGGGTGAGATGGAATCTCAGCATTGTTGTAATTTGCATCTCTTGAATGGCCGGTGATGTTGAACATTTCTTCATATACTTATGTACTGTTTGTACTTCTTTGATTTAATATTCTTGAAGCATTTATGGTTTAAACAAATTAAGGTACCTACAAATAGAGGACAAAGAGATTGAGCTCTTTTAGTCTTGATTGAGAATAGCAAAGTATATTGTTACATTTTAAGAAGCAAATGATTGAGCTCTATACTTAAGATTTGTGCAGTTTATTGAATATATAATACTCAATTAAAAACAGGAAAAAGAATAATGTGTACAAGATGCCATTATTTGTGTAGAAAAATGAGAATATATAAACATAAATGCATATATACATGATTGGATACTGGGCTGGTTCTTTGAATTGAGTAGTTCTTCCTACTCATCCTACCCTCTGGTTGGTTGGAGACTGCGAGGTGCTTATTCCTTTTAAAGTCTGATTTTTTAAATTCAATTTTTAAATATCTGTCTTTAATAACATTTTATGAAAGATGCTAATGGTGTAGGATTCTTTTAAAGTGATTATTTTGGTCACTACCCACTAGTTGTGTTATTATTGAGCCTGTATTCTACTACGAGTGGCTCTGTTTGCAAATTCTCTTAAAAGTTACACAGAATATTAGTAACAATAGTTGCTGCTAGTCAGGGTGATTGGGAGATAGGAAAGGGGGGGCACTTATTATTACATATCTTTTTATACAATGCCCTTTGTATGTATTACTTAGTTTTATAATCAGAAAATCAGAAAAAACAGAGTGAAACATTTTTATACCTAAATCTTTGCATACAGTCAAGACAGCTCCTTAAGAATGTACTTTTTTTGTTGTTTTGTATTTTTGAGACAGATTCTCACTGTGTATTTCAGGCTGGCCTTGAATTCACTATGTAGCCCAGGCTGGCCTTCAACTCATGGTGATCCTCCTGCCTCTGCCTGCTGAGTGCTGGGATTATAGGCATGCAGCAGCATGCCTGGTTTAAGAACATGTATTTTTAGAAAATATTTCTCCTCAGTCACTCATTATTGTATCATTCTGCTTAACCGGGTCAAAGCTAGGAAGGGAGGAGGGAAACAGAAATCACCTGATAGAATATGGAAGTTTTTTATGACTTTTTTTTTCCTCCTTTTCGGTGGAGCTGGGATTGAACCCAGGGCTTTGTACGTGTTTGATAGGTGCTCTACCTGAGTGTATCCCCAGCCAAAAGGTGGTGATTTTCAAACTATAAATGTACATTTGAATTACCTACTAATCTTTGTACCAGCTTGTGATAAAAAAGCAGATTCTTGGACCTTGTGGTTCTGATTCAGGAAGTCTGAGTTGAGGTCTAGAAATCTGTATTTTAACAAATTTCCTAGGTAATTTGGGTACAGTGGAGTCCCTACTCTCTGTTGGAGACCCTACTCTGAATAACACCAGTGTAATTTTGGTTTTTTTTTGTTTGTTTTTGGGTTTTTTTTGTTTTGTTTTGTTTTGTCTTTTTGAGACAGAATCTTGATATGCAGCTCACTTTGTAGGCCAGGCTGGTCTCAAACTTGCAACGACCCTCCTGCCTCAGCCTCCCGAGTGCTGGGATTACAGGCGTGCACTGCCACGCCAGACTGCCAATGTAATTTTGATACATCATCAGAAAGACACATCTGTGATATTAATTTTTCCTAACACATACAAGAGAAGAGACCATCATTATACTTTATCAACATAAAAAATGAGGCTCAGAGATGGACAGTACACTTTGCAATGACACTCTAAATATACAAAGTATTTTGAAAAGCTAAGTACAGTATCTGTCTGGTTAGCTCATGGTGTGGTGGAAGATGGCTTACCCTCATAGGCCCAGGCATTAGTGTTGCTAGGTGGATTTTATAACTGTTCCTCTCTCGTTTGTACCCCTAATGCTGGTTCTTTCTGGTATATCTCAGGGAGGGTAATGAGCCAGGAGAGACCACTCAGATCACATACCGTGAACTTCTGGTCCAAGTGTGTCAGTTCAGCAACATTCTCCGTAAGCAGGGTGAGTGTGAGGGTGTGGGAAAGGGGCTGGAGGATTTGGCATTGGGATCTGAGGATTTGTGGGGAGAGAAAAATAAATGGAAGGAACTTGGTAACAGGGAAACAGAAAAAGTTAACTGGGAAAAAAGCCAACTGAATGGGTGGGAGCAGGAAGTAGCAGCAGGAAGGCTCATTGTCAATGTTCTGTGTCTTTTACCTGCAGGCATTCAGAAGGGTGACCGGGTGGCCATCTACATGCCCATGATCTTGGAGCTTGTGGTAGCCATGCTGGCCTGTGCCCGCCTTGGGGCTTTGCACTCCATTGTGGTAGGAGTTTGGGCTGGTGAAAAGGGGCAGGGGTTGAGGACATGGATCTGGAGAAGCAGGTTGGGCCTGGGTGATGGAGGATCTTAAATAACAAAGGGGCTTAATGTGCTTATGTCATAGATCTGTATCAGTTATTCAGTTTCTTCTTGGACCCTGGCTTAGAGATTCTAAGTTTCATGAACAACTCCTTTCCTTGTTCACTCAACCCTGAGATCTTCCTCTCTCCCTCAGTTTTTCTTTCCTTCCTTAGTTTGCAGGCTTCTCTGCAGAGTCCCTTTGTGAACGGATCCTGGATTCCAACTGCAGCCTTCTCATCACTGCAGGTGATTGATTCTCTCACTTTTTCTGCAGACCCCACCTTGAGTCTTAGTCTCGAGTCAGCTCTTTGGTTTGGGGCTGCCTAGGATGAAGGGTAGGACTGCCTGCCTTTCCTCTCCAAGTCCCATCTCAGCTAATCCTGTCAGCCCAAATCAACTATAAGTGCCAGAGTCAAGAGGCCCATTGAGGAAGGGCTCTGTGGACATTGTGCCACTGGGGAGGATAGTTCCTACTAAGCCCTGGAATGTTTGTTGCTCCCCAAAGATGCCTTCTACAGGGGGGAAAAACTTGTAAACCTGAAGGAGCTGGCTGACGAGTCCCTGGAGAAGTGTCGGGAGAAGTAAGTGCACTGGCCTTTTGGCTACTGCCCTGGGTTAACTGGGTCTTTCCTCAGTGCCAGCTCCCTTTGTCCACCCCCGCCAGATGGATAGGGGTGGGTCTTGCCAACTTCCCTTTGGAGCCAATCAGGCTACCACTGCAGGCTTGTCTTTTCTCCAGGGGTTTCCCAGTGAGATGCTGCATTGTGGTCAAGCACTTGGGGCGAGCAGAGGTTGGCATGAGTGACTCCCCCAGCCAATCTCCCCCGGTTAAGAGGCCATGCCCAGATATCCAGGTGAGTATGGTGCTGGTATACTTCTGCAGGGGTCAAATTTCCTCCCACTTCCTAACCAAGAAGTTCCTAAAGTCTTCTTTTGCTTCCTTATTATAATGCTGAGGGTCTGGAAGCAGTCCTACGAATGCTTTGTCTGGCAGGGCTGGCTGGGAGCAAGGGATTTTGACCTTGAATATGAGGGAAAGGCTTTTGGACCTCAAGAACTTGTCATGAGAGGTTGTGAAGGAGAGTCCTGTGCTGAGTAGGGTATCTTGACAGGCACAGAGAAGCCTCAGGATTTGGGCTTGGATTAGAAATGAGCTAATTTAGGTGACTGTATGTAGTCATCTTAAGTAGAATGTGACTTGAGGTGCACTACCTTTCGTGGCCTAAGGGATGTCTACCATAGATGAACCAAAATTCCTCAATATGGCTTTTGGTAGCTTTGGATCCAGCACTTCTGTTGGAAGTGGTAGAAAAGCTCAGTGTGGCCTTCAGGTCTGAGGGGCATAAGGTATGAAAGCTCTGAGGTCCAAAAGGATAGAAGGCTACTTAGATTCTGTGACATGAAGGGGCCTGAGTGGTATTGGGATGGAGATGCTATAGTTTAGTTTAACAATAAATGTTAGTGATATGCACATATAAGAGCTAGAGTCAGATTTAGGAAAATAGAGGCAGAGGAACCAGAGGGAGGGGAGACAGAGGGACAGGAGACATCCAGGGGTTTAAGACTCACTCACCCTTCCTTCCCACTCCTCTATCCTTGGATCCTGCTCATTGGCCTTTCCATTCCATGGGCTCTTAACAGGGTAAGCTGAAAGAGAAATCCAAGCGCATCCGGCCCCAGGTATCCACTTCTCCACTGCCTTGGGCATAGCTTTCCTGCATGCTTATCTGTGTGTCCCTCTATTCTCTGCCTGTTTGCTCCATTAAAGTAGTTGCCAGACCTTTCCCCCTTACTCTTGCTCCTAGGCACCTAGTAACATCCATGCCACTCTAAAGCATTGTGAAATCAAATATCTATTGCTGCCTCTGTCTACTAGCATGGAGCAAGGATTTCAGAGAGGTAATAAGAGACATCCCATTTCACTCCTGCTGCTTGGGACCTTTGTGGGAGAGAGGACCAGATAACCAGTCAGAAAGTATTTACTGTGCACTTAGCTGGATGAAGCCAGAAGAGACAGAGGAGAAGCAGATGGAGGAGGTGCAGGCAGACCTTGACCTTGGAATTCACCATCAAGCTGGGGAGTTAGACATGTATTACAGAAGAATGAGTTTTATACAGGACAGCAAAGAAGAACATTCCATTTATTTATTTGTCTTTTTTTTTGAGCAAGGTCTCACTGTGCAGTTCAGGCTGGCCTTGAGCTCACTTTGTAGCCCAGGCAGGTCTTGAACTCCCAACAGTCCTCCTGCTTCAGCCTCTCTCGAGTGCTAGGATTACAGGTGTGCACCACCACACATGGCTCAAGAAAAACATTCTAAAATACATTTATATACTTCTTTGGGATTTACAAATTGCATATAACTCTCTGATGTGATTAAATATTAAAATTGAATCAAGGCTATACTACAGGTGGTTTTAAGCAGAGAGATCCATAAGTAAATGCTCAAAAGAGCTTAGTGTGGAAGAGACAGGGGGCCTGGGTCCCAGAGACCAATTTTTAGCTGTATGACCTTGCATAAGTCTCTTTTTTCTAGGCCTCACTTTCCTTATCAGTAATAGATGATAATGCATACTTAAAAGAAAGCAAAACATAAAAGTTCACTGCTCCTATGCTTTTTACCATCTTAACAGGCTACCTTGCCCAAATGGTACCTTTTATGCTAATGGTGCACCTTTCTCTATTCTTACTAGCATGGTGGAAACAGATCTGATTCCTAGGGAACCCTACTTTCCTTTTACAGCTCAGACAAGGACCTAAGCCCTTCTTTTCAAAGAACTATTCAAACTTCATGGTTTTAGAGTGTAGGCTCTGGAGCAAGACTACGTAGGTTCAAATTCTGGCTCTGCCATCTGCTACTGTGTAAAGTTGGGCAAGTGACTTAAGCTCTCTTGCTCCAGTTTTCCCATCTATAGCTATCTTATAGAGTTTTGTCAATATATATAAGGTGCTTGCCACATAGTAAGTACTAAATAAATGCTAGTTGTTATTACTTCCTTTGACAAAGTAAACTCATAAGTCTGCCTCAAGCTTCCAGCATTTGGATTTTTGTTTCTTGGAGTGAAAACAGTTACCAAAAGAACCAAACAGGCATTTTATAGCAAGCTTCATCCTGTCTGCATCTCAGAAGGGGAGCCAGCAAGACAGCAGCAGTGACCATGAGGGAGCCAGCAACATACCCAGCTCCAAGTCAGTCTTTCGTGGGAAAAGTCAAAAGAAGCACGATAACCCCAAATTTACAGAGGAAACCACATGTCTGGGCCCTCAAGGCAAAGCGCAAAGCTGCTGCAGGCTCAGTCTTCCTCGTGTGACTGACCAGCTGCATCTTCCCAAGGGTGGTGACTCTCATCACCGCCCACTCTGGCAGTGAGGTCAGGCATGATCCACACAAGGACAAGCTGGAGAAGCCCCAGCAGCTCTGTGCAAGCTGGAGGCTGCAGTCACTTAAGTGCCAAGACACCAAGGAAGAACCTTTAAACGAATTGTATTTCTCAAGCACCTTTAAAATAATAACTTCAGAAGTCAAAGCTGATCCCTGGGCCAGTTTGCTGTTGAGAGTTTGCAGCCCACTCCAGCCTGTCTCCATTTTTTGAAAGAGATAGTCCTGGAAGATTTTCATCTTTTACCTCCCTCTTCCAGCCAGCGGGTCACTTCTGCAGACATCCAGAGACACACTCGGAAAGCAAAGGAAGCCAGGCAGAGGCTGGCTGAGGCCTTGAGGGTAGACAGCCTGGCCAGGGAGACAGAGAAGATGAGTGTCCAGGAGGAAATACCTGAAAACCAGGTAGAAACATGAGCAGGAACTGCTGGAGAATCCCAGATGTGAGGCTGCTGGAAAGAGGGTTTCACTGTGAGAAACATTTCTGATTTCTCTATATGTCTTCAAATACCAATCCAGCCCTTACCAATGATCTTGTAATAACCAAATTGCTCTTTATTAAACTGTTTTTGTGAGGGGAAAAAAAAAAAAAACAGCATAAAAATAGGCTTATAGTGTTTTATTTTTGTTTTCTTGAGATAGGGTCTTGCTACACAGTTCAGGCTGGCCCTGAACTCACTATGTAGCACAGGCTGGCCTCAAACTTGCTGCAGTCCTCCTGCCTCAGCCTCCTGAATGCTAGGATTATAAGCATGTACCACCATACCTGGCCAAAATCCAGGTTTTTTGGTCTGAAAATTGCAGTAAAAGCTGTGGAAATTCTGATAGACTTTCAAACCCCTTCAGCCTTACACAGTCTTCAAGGCAAGGCCTGACAGGTGCCCTCCTTGACCATGTCACCCATGAGCGCCTTCATATTTTTTTTCCATACCTGGAAAGCTGCCCTTTCAAGGCCACTCTGGTATAAGGACAAGGGCCAACTCTTCCATTTTTATTTTAGAAAATAAAATTCAAACCTTTTCCTGGTTCCAACCCATGGGTCTTACAGGCACACACCTCATCCACACCCAATGTTTGCTTCACTAATTGAGCTCATCCTGCTTCCTGGTGCTTGTTATTGGCTCCACACCTGGAATACACCACCTCTTCCTCTCCTCCCTACACACACATACACACCCACAAAAAAAATACTTTTATAAGATTATAAGAATTCACTCAGTGCAGAGCCACGGTGTAACTATGCTTTATCCTTTGACAATTCACAGTACTATAGAGCAGCACCATTTGTCCAAAGCAATATTGACATAGTTCTGCCTAGATACATTAATGCCTTCAGCTCAAGGTAATTTGGCAAGAAAAAAAGTATTCATATGACAGGGTACATATAAACTCACGTAGATTTTTCCACTAAAAAGTAGGGTGTGCTTGTGTATATTCTAGCTGGGGTTCTCTTCTCTTCTTATTTTTAATGGCATCCTCACTTGGACTGGGATTGTCATTCTCATGATACTCATATGTCAGAAACTTAAAATTCTGTAGAGTAAGGGCCATGTAGTACAGACACATGGCAGTGGCATAAGTGATTAGAGTCATATTCTTATTTACCAAGATACATATCTAACACTTCAGGATTTTTTTTTTTTTCTTTTGGTACCAGGCATCAAACTCAGGACCTTGTGCTCACCAGGCAGGCACTGTGCCACTGTGCCACTGACCACTTTGGGATTTTTAAACCAAATATGCACACAATAAATTAGCACATATCTGTGTAATAAGGGAAAGGCATTTCTCTAACATTGTCATTTCTATCTACCAGCCAAGGCCATTGAACATTTAAGAATCTAATGAATATGAAAGGGCTTTGAGACAGCTAAAGCAGTCCCCAACCAGTTTTCATCATCACACCCTTAAATTTATCTCCCAGTGTTTTTTTTTTTTTTTTTTTTTTTTTTTCCAGTACCGGGAATCGAACTCACTACCTTGCACTTGCCAGGCAGGCGCTTATGCCACTGAGCTATATCCCCAGCACCCCCCAGTGGTTATTAAACTAACCTCTGTCCCTTCTGACATTCATCAGACTTGTCTACCTTACCCCCTGGGGTGGTCCAAGGCTTGGTGTTTATTAAATATCTTTCCTTTTGGATATTCCCAAAATCCTGTGAGATCATCTGGACAAGAATGACTATCCTTATTTTTTAAAAGAGTGATTTGAGGTAGAGTGACTTATCCAAGGTCATATAGCAAGGAAGTGGTAGAACTGGGGTTGCAATCCAGTACAAGTTTTAGACAATTCAGTGAATCCAGCTTCACCTGGCAGAGAATAGACTATAACAATTAGGTAAAATTTGGTATTTAAAGAGGTGATGTGACCAGGAAAGGAATATAGTTTCAAAGGAGAGTTGAGAGAAATTTCAGAATGACAGATTCAGATGTCACTATCAAAGGCATTTGGATATAGAGGAGCATCACTTTTCTGGATGGAGTTCACCTTGGTCCTTTTCCACCAATGTGAAGCAAGGCTTCCTGCTGCATGGAACCTGTCTCCTCAAACAAAAGGTGCTATGGGAAACCCCCTTGGTGTCAGTGTTATCAAGGTAGAAAAGAACCTGTAGATGTGGATGGGATCTGGACATATAGAAGAAAGTGCTTGGACCAAGAGCTGTTGATTTCTTTCACTACTAACAGGATCAAGTGCCCACCTCACCTGCAGGCTCTGACTAATTTAGCATTTCTGAATTGTGTAGTATCTGCATCCCTGCTGATAAGCCACTAGTTTCCTATAGTGCATATGTGTGTATGCAGGCTGTGTGTGCAAAGTCATTCATTCAACAAAAATTTCCTGAATGTTTTCTTGAGAATCAGTCACTTTACAAGCTGTTGGCGATACAGAAAAAAGAAGACATAAAAGACATACCACTGCCCTCCTAGAGGTCACCATCTAGTTGGGGGAGACAATAACTAAGTAAATAAATAAAAGAAATGGAAATATATGCTGTCTGGGAAAGAAACGTGGAATTGTGGTTAATAATAATTGGAGAGGTGGAAGAGAATTTATCATATACCACTCAGGAGAAGTTCCCCAAAAGGTGACCTTTCACCTGAGAGTTGAAGGGTGGGAAGGAATCAACTGAGGGGCCCTCCTCAGCCTGAGGCCAGGTGAGGGGAGTTCTGTGGTACAGATAAGGGAAGGATGGCAGAGTACCCAAGAAGCCTGCTGTTATGCTCCTGTTCTCTGCCTATTCTATCTTTGCAGGGCCCTCCTTCTGGTGCCAGGTAGAGGGGTCTCCCACCCCATCTTAAGCTGTTCACAGTTTGTTGCTTCCTATTCCTCTCTTCCTCTTCCTGTAGATCTCCTGGAACCAAGGGGTTGATTTGTGGTGGCATGAACTCATGCAAGATGCAGGGGATGAGTTTGAACCTGAGTGGTGTGATGCTGAGGACCCACTCTTCATCCTGTACACCAGTGGCTCCACAGGCAAACCCAAGGCAAGTATGTATGTATGTGTGTCTGTTAGGTAAAGTGAGAAATGAGTTTCTAAGGAAGCGTGTGATGACGGAAACATTATTGTATAACCATATGTAACAGATATGTCACATTATCTTTTCTAAATCAAATTAAGACATATGTTCTCAATTACTAGATGCTGAGGCCCAGGGTGAGACAAGTCAAGTTGGGGCTTTCATGGTACCCAGAAAAGGGAGGAAAGGATCACCTATATGGCTGACACTGATCCTTGCTGATTCCCATATGGTTTGGTTGAAGAAGAGCTATTCTGTCACCTCAGGCCCAAGAGTGGGCACAGGATCCCTCTTGTGCTTGTAAGACCATAACTCCAAGTTGCATTTTTTTCTTCATGGCACATTGTTAACAGCTAGTCCCCTGCCAGGGGACAGCATGAGAGCTCGAAATATTTTGAAAAGCTGACTCTTCCATTGACTTGAAAAGTACATCACTCTACCTTCTACCCACTTCATCCTTAAGTTCTTCTCTCCAGGTGCTTTAGAATATCTCTCAATGGGATGTTAGAAACACATTTTGGCCTTTTCTTCATAGGGGTAGAGTAAGCCAAGTGCATTGTCTTTTTTTTTTTTTAAGTCACCCTGATGATGTGTCATTGAGTATGAGGACACAAATGTATAGCAAAAACGATGTGAGTGTGCTGGGGATGTTCATGTGTAAGTGATGTGATGGCTCAGAAATGTAATCTCAGTATATAGGTGAGAACGATGAGCTGGTGTGTATTTGTAATATTACGGGTATGATAAAGAAGATGAGATGAGAGCATAGAGAAAAGAGATGAAAGAGAAATGTGCTGTGGAAAGGATGATGGTAGGCCAAAATCCCCCAGAAGGGTCTTTCTCCAGCTCTGCCAAACCTCCATTCATTGGTAAGTGGACGTGGGCTGAAGGCCCCAGTCTGAGGCCCCATTCTTCCCACAGGGTGTGGTACACACAGTTGGGGGCTATATGCTCTACGTGGCTACAACTTTCAAGTATGTGTTTGACTTCCACCCGGAGGATGTGTTTTGGTGCACAGCAGACATTGGTTGGATCACCGGCCATTCCTACATCACCTACGGGCCACTGGCAAATGGTGCCACCAGTGTTTTGGTGAGAAGGGAGCTGAGACTTATGGCTACCTAGCCTACCTGGGGGGGGTGCATAAAATTATCCAGGATGAAAAGAGTTAAAGACATCATACCACAGTGATACATACATACCTATGTTTATAGCACCACAACGCATAATACTTACACATGATGGAGTACTATTCTGTTGTAAAGAAGGATAAATATGAGTCATTTGTAGAAAAATGGATGGACCTTGAGACCACAATATTAAGTGAAGTAAATCAGACACACAATCTTAAATATCATATAACTTCTCTTGTATGAGAAACCCAGAGTATAAATAAATTTGAAAACAAAATAAAAGATAGAAAATAGGAAACAGGGAGATAGATCTTTTGCAAATGAGAAGAGGATCTAAAGATAGAGGGAGAGGGGAGAGAGGGGTGGGAGAGGGAAATGAAAGAATTAAGAGATGCTAAGTATATCCTTAAGATGTACTCCTTAAGATGAATGTAAACTTTATGTACTACAAACATGTACTATAAAAAAAATTTAATCCTGAGTCACACTATAGGGAAAAAAAAGATTATCCTGTGTGACTACCTCTGAAGGTTATTTAGTCTGCTTACAACCTGTTTCTGGGAGAAAGACCTTTGAGGGAATTATGTATCCTGACCAGGAAAGTCTCTTGGGTTGTCTGGTCAGGGAGTTAAAACATGGTCAAGGGGCCAGGGATATAGCTCAGTGGCACAAGCGCCTGCCTGGGCAGCACAGGGTCCT